GAAATGACACAGGCTGAATTCTGGCAAGGTGGCCAAGGAACGTGTTTATAGCTGAGGACTTGTCTAGGAAACACGGTCTCCGGAGATGCTAGCTTAGTAATTGCCACATCTGGGGAGGAAGAAAGATGCCATCTTATACAAAAAGGAACAAAAAGTTAAAATTAACTTGATATCCAGACACTTGCCTAGAAGCCAAGAGACAATAAGAAGCCCATCAAGGAAGTTAATTGGCCCCAGATTTGGCACTGATTAGAAGTATCAGATTACATTCCTAAAGTGCTCTGCTCTGGATAGCTGTAACTCTGGAACTTTTCCCTGCTGATAAGCATGACAGTGACAAATTTGTGGTATTTTCATGACATTTCCTTGGCTTTCCTTTGAAGCCTGGTTGGCTAAAATGAATCAGGCAGTCTTGCTGTATTAGAAGCCCTACTTTGCTCCAGGTAGAGTTTGTGGGGCTTTCTCTGCCTGATTTTTAGGGAGTTTAATTGGCAGTTTAAAACCATTGTCACTCTAAACCATGGCCTGGAAATGCCTCATGAATGTGTGTACGTGTGTGTACGTGTATGTACGTGTGTGCATGTGTGTGTGTGTGTGTGTGTGATCTGTATCTGTATCTGTATCTGTATCTGTATCTGTATCTGTATCTGGGAGAACAGCAAGGAGCCTGGCAGCTCCATCAAAAGCTACCATTTTTCTCCAGTCTAGACAATTTTAAAACATTCACCCAAGAAATCCATCTCTTAGTTAACCTATCATGAGTACTGCCTTCTTTTCCCGTTGGTTTTTAGAGGCCAGAAAAAAATTTCAGGGGGCACCTTTGATCGGGAGCTCCGTTGGGCTTTGTGCAGGCTGTCAACTCAGAAAGAAGTGTCACTCTGATGCTTACACCCAGGTCAGGAGCCATCAATGGGTGAACCAGAAGAGAAATGAAATTACACGATTCAGTGACTCTGCTCTACAGATGAGGAAACCGAGGGCCAGAGAAGCTAAATGATTTGCCCAAGACATCCACTGAGTGCATGCTGGGCTCGGGGTGAGACTGTGTCTGGAAACTTGGTTTTCTTCTGTCCCTCGCATCAGTGTGACAGAGGCTCTTTCTCTGCAGACAGCATTTACGACACCCTCACCTCTTTCACAACTCTCTGAGCAAAGAGCTTGGTGTTCTTCTCAGCCATTCAGAAAAGTGAGTCAACACCTTCGCAGTGGTCAGACTTGGTTCGAGTCCTTCCGGTGGCGGTGGTCATTGTCCTTGGACCACGGGAGCAGTGTCTTTCCTTGCCTCCCGAGTGCAGAATCCACATAGCGCTGATAGTTTGGCATAGAGCACGCTTACTTGGGCAACATGGCTCTTGGCCCCATGCTCTCTTCTATCACATAGACAAGGACATTTTCTAGGAGGGTGCTTGGTATAAAAAACACTGTCATGGGCTCTGTGTTGGTGTAAAGCCCAGGAATTTTGTATAAGGTGACGGGATGGTGTTTCGTAGCATGCAGTAGTGGAGTTTCTCAAAATCATGCTGGACACACCATTCACCCCTGTCCAAAGGGAATAACTCACATTTTTATTGCAGTTTCTGGTTTGTAACGCTCATATTTCACTTTAACTTTCCTTGTGAGTTTTAGGGTTATTATATATAATTTTAACAACCAAGAAGTTCAGGCCCAGAGAAGCTAGGTAACTGGCCCAAGGTCCCTCAGAGATAGGAAAGTGAGCAGGCTCCAAATCAAGTTCCCATAAGAGATCTATCAGTTTATGCTCCTGTGTATAATTAGGACTATTTCCCTCCATACTACTTATGATGATTTGTCTTTAGGAAGCTTAATTCTCCCAAGAAATCTCCATTCGCAGCTGCTGCTGCTGGTGGAGGCAGTAAGTTTAGAGAAGATTTTTCTCTGAATGTCTTCCCCTTCCACTTAGCGTGAAAATGTGAGAAAGGATAACTTCTGTGATCTTCTTGAGGCTAAGCACTATTCTTGGTGAGAAAGACAGGAAATCTTGGAACCTCTAGAAAAATGAGAAAGAGAAAAGGGAGGGCTTATAGCCTATGTGAAGGCAAAAAATAGCTCCTGGTGGCAAGGAGGGCACACAGCCGGCTGTGAGGGAAGGCACTGAGGTATAAGAGTAGGTAATTCAGGAGTCCTAGTGGGATGTTCTCTTTCTTCTAGAATTTTCTAGAATATTCTCAACTCAACTCAATATGTCTTCTAGTTAGAGAGGCTGTGGTGCCTGTGTGTGTCAGTATCTGTTTTAGTACATCTTTAACTTAAGCCCAGATGAGGTCAGGGACAGGATCACCTAGGTTTAAATTATTTACAGAGTTGGCTCTTGAGAGGTTTGCTCATGGAAGTAAATCCTTTCTTGGATATTTACTTTTTTGAGAGGTAAGTACTGTCAATGCCAGGGTTTTAAAGATTTACCATGGGCATTTTTGCAATCCGAAATTAACTTTACAGAGGAAATGTTTATTACGTTAATTAAACTTCCCCAAGCATGGTTTCTCAGTATCTGAGAAGTGAAAAGTATGTTTTCTGCTTGTGTGTGTATGCATAGTATGTGTACGTGTGTGTGTGTGTGTCTGTGTGCGTCTATGTATATGTGTATCAGTATCTGTACTTCTATAGGGTTGTTTACTAGGAAGTACTAGAGCTTCGGTGGAGAAAGAGAGGGCACAAATTCCAACCATGAGTGTGATCAAGGTTGTTTGTCAAGGAAAAAAAGGGGAGTTCTAGAAAATTTTCTGAGTGTTCCATTAAATTTATCTTTTGTGTGCATTGTTTTTCTTTGCTCACTTTTTTCTGGGAAAATAAAATTCTGTCTTCCAAATGATTACTATGTAAAAATAAATATAATACAGAGTTATAGCTTCATAACTAGGAGTTAGTGTGTTTTTTAAATACTGCTTTTATCACAGAGATATGTGCTTAAGCGTTACTTACAAACGTATATTAATTGATCTGTGTGCCTTCATTGTATAGAACAAATATAATTCACATCCCGTTTGTGTAAGTTAGGGCTGTCACATAAAATACCAGATGTGCAGTACAATCTGAATTTAAGATAAACAACAAATTAGTATCTGAATTTCAGAATAAATTGTGCAATTCTGTGAACTGTCTGCAAAATCAGGAAACCCAGATAGAAGCATAACCTCGAGTTGCTTATACTGACCTTTGATAGACTGAGAGTCTGCACTATTGCGGGCCAGACCTTCTTCCGAAGCTAGATATGAAAAGTTTTAGCTCCCTGCGTGCTAGTGTGACCTCCACCATCAGGCAGTTTTATTGGAAAGAGTTTCAAAATCTATTATCAGTGTAATCGTCATGAAAATATTTGATGAGAACACTGCATCACGCTGTATAATAAATTTAAGTAGAAAAGTCAAAGCAGTGGTATTTTCATAAGGCCCCTGAATGTCAGGAGAAAATAGTTCCACACTCAGCGAATATAGATGGATCTGTTTGGGGCTGTGTTAAATCCAATTGTGTGGAGGTTTTGAATAATCAAGAGTGATAGTCTAAGCACTTTCTCTCCAAAGTGATTTTATAGAAAGCACCATTTCCTAAGAAAAGTACACCCTGAGTTCTCACAATGCTGAAAGAGCACTAATGTATCAATTTATTGGGATTGGTGTCAGGAGCTAGAGTTGCAAATTGTATTCCGATTTTAAATTTTACTCACTGTTGCTATTGGGGGGAAATAGCTTTTCCATGCTGAAGGTTCCTTCAAAAATATTCCTAGTTGCTGTGGGACAGCACCTTCAAAAGTCGTTGCAGAAACTTCTAACTTCATTTTGCAAAGCCAACTCAAACATAATGAAAAACAATATACTTTTCCTCAGTAAAAGGGGGGGAAGGATTTGAATTGGGCTATGTAATTTCAGCTTCCCTAAATAAGGCCTTTGGAAAATTGTGGGGGGAACAAGTGTGTGATTTTGGTCTCGAACCACAACTTTGGAACTAATCTTTTTTCCTTAATGTCTACCATGGATTTTCATAACAGATTTCTTCCTTGGACAGCATGTTCCATAGTTCAGTAATAGGTCTGAGCGTGGTGCCACACGTTTCAACAACTTTTGCTTTTCAAACTGAGGGTTAAATAGTTCTCTTAATAACTCAAAAGGAAAAAAGTAGCTTTTTTTTTCAAGGTTTGCCGCAGTTCATAGTCACAAGGCTAAATGTTTTCAACAGTTGGATTACTTCGGGCCTGTTTTGTCTGGGGAAACATCTCCCAAGAAGAATGGAGCATAAAATGAGTTGCCCATGTGGCATTTCTGAACTGAAGGTTGTAGGGTTTGTGCTGGAGCATGCCTGCCTGCTGTCTCTGCTGGCCTCAGGTGCCAGCTCCCTCTGAGCGGCTCTTGTCACCTGTCATCCGTCAGTCAGCCAGGAAACATCAAGCGTACTGATTCATGAATCCTCCTCTGTCTCATGCATTTTGGTGCCATTTACAAAGGCGTCCCATCATGCCCCTGCTGGCCTGGACGCATACAGATGCTCAGGTACATCCGGTGGCTGTATTTTCCCCTCGCCGTTAGAAGTTATGCTTCACATGAGCAGGAAGGGTCTTTTTCATTAAAAAGCTAATGCAGACTCAATGGCCACACCAAATTAATTGCTCCGATGCTCAACTGACTCTCGTCTGAGATTGGCATCGCTCTTTTGTGCCTCCGATCTTCCCCACTCTGCCCATAAACCTGATTGTCTCCCCTATTTACAATAAAGAATGTGAGGCTTCTCTCAGCCTGTTTCACTGTGTTGCATTACCGTCTGCTATTTCTCGTTTACCACAGAACCTCTCGGACCAGTGGGTGATGCTTGTAGCCTGTCACTCCCAGTCACGCGTGCCTTGGAGTCCATCTAGGGTCCCTGCCACTAATCTCACCACTTCTCCCCATCTGAACATGATAGATTCCCAAGCACGCTCTGAATGAAATGTATGCATTCAAAGAAGCGCATGCAGGACTCTCTCTTACCTTTGCGTTCTTTCTTCCTTGCAGGTATTTCGGTAACGAAGAAGACGCATACATGTAAGTAATGCTCCTTCTTTTTTATTTTGTCCAAAGTTTTCTGAAGAGTTGGAATTCGCATATGTCTGGCTGCTGTGACCCTTCAAGCATAAACTAATGTTTCAGCTTTGATCCGTGGTCAACAGAGGTCTTATTTTCAACCTGTACGTGTTGGAAGTGGCCCGTATCACCTGTTTGTACTGAGTGTGTGTTGCGGAGAGGTTAGACGTACTCTGAAGAATGCTAGCATTCCATGTCGTCTGGCCAGGAGGATCAACTACTTGATGAGCACCCTTCTCCTCTAGGTCCTTCTCGGGACAGTTGGTTTGTTTCCAGGAAACATCACCCTGATTTGCTTTTAACTCTGGTCTCCTTGTGCTTGATACTCGTTCACAGATGAGGCTGTTTTGTTAGGATGTCTGTAGAGCAGAGATGCTGACTGGGACTATACATAGGTGCTGTGGCAGGACCGGGACATGGTTTCCGAGGGCCCCAGGAGATAGAACGGGTAGATCCAGGTGGACAGGTGTACTGGGTTTCTGCTCTGTGTTCATCCCACTTTTCAAGCTAAATTGCTTTCATCACTTGCCTTATCTCAACTACACCATAAACTTACAAACTCATGTGAGCGGTTATGGTTTGCAGTCTGAGAAATCACATTTGCCTCTGCCTTGAACCCCAGGATGAAATAATGTATCACTGATGCAGGGAGTCAACTTTCACTGTACTTGACAGTGTGTCATATTGGCTTTGCATTAATGTGTCTTTAGAATTTGATGACTGTTTTCGTACACAGATATACCTACGAGATGTATCTGGACATCATCCCAAAGCAAGCAGCAGAGCTCACTTTAGCCCAGTATTAGGAACAATGAGTATATATGTCCCCAAAGTTTTCTTAATTACATTTTTTATTTACACTTTTTATTTCATGTGAATCATTGTGGGTGAAAAAAAAAAAAGCTGTGTTACATCCAAGTAGTTTAGCTTGTGCCTCGGTTGATTCTTGAAATCTGCTCTTGGGTTTGTCTGTCTGTCTTTCTGTATTTGTAGAAAACAAAATTATTTAAAAAATAAAATAAAATTTACTGAGAAGCTGCCTTGAGGAACGCAAGGAAGTCCGGCCTCTACTGGACACAAGTTCGGGACAGTACCTCCATCTCTCGCTGCACAGTTCCAGTCAGCTGGCCCTCCGTCAGGGTAGTCTGTGACCCTTAGCGTTTTGGGGGTTGTTTTGTTGTTGTTCTCGTTGTTCTTGCTGTTGTCGGTGCATAATTGAGCTCATGATGACTGAGAGATTGACAGCGCAGGAGACTGAAGTCCTCTGTATATCCGCAGGGCAGGCATGGTACAGAGCGCTCCCTTGCACAGCCTTGCCCATGAGCTCGTCCCTGGCCTGGAGGGACCCACTCTAGAGGTGGTAAGTAATTCAGTCTTTCTGCTAGCTCAGTCCTGGGTCTTTCCCAAACAGGGGCTGATGATTGTGCCTGCTGTGTATGGTGCTTTGGGGTATGGACTCCGGGCCACCTACCACTATAGGGCAAGCTGCTGACTATTCACATTATGGCTTGGCTCTTAGATAAGTGGGAAAACTACCACTACAACTCCAGTGGACCTGAAGAATATACCCAACTAATAAGACAACGAAAGGCAGAGGCCATAGAGGTTAGCTAGGATAGGGACAGACAGTCTATAAAGATGTTCAAGGAGTTGTCAGCTCTGAAAATCATTTTCTTGGCCAATTGTAGAAATAACCTTTGGTTGAGTTTAATTCACGGAAGAGGAAACAGCGTGACAGTGGTGGCTAGCAAGGAGAAAGTGATGTTTCAAGAGCAGGCGATTTCACTAGGTGGGCCTTCCAGCTAGGGCTTTGAGAATCTCAGCAGCTGTACCTGCATTAAAACAAAATCAAGACATATGCAGAGTGAATGGGTTCTCAGTGTCTTTCTAATATTAAAGATCGGTAGGAAAATTTTTAGGCATTAAGTAAGAACTTAATGTCAATAGGCTTATAGCCCTATATATAATTGACAGAAAGTGGTCAAAAATCACATTGGTTTTTTCCATGGATGTTTATACTTTCAATTTGGGGGAAGAGGGTAATGATTAAATGGCTCAGTGTTAAGTTGCAAAGAATATCACCTGCCTGAGATAGCTGGCATCAAACTTCATGTGTGTCGAGGAGAAATTGATTTGTCCAAGTTCCAGGACCGTGAAAGTCCTCCATACCACTGAACATAGATATTGTCTTTGTCACCCAAGTCGGCAGACAGCCCATCATAGCTCTGATCTAACAACTACTGTACAGGGCCCACAACTTGTGAGGAGGAAGAAAATCAACCAGTTCTTTCTCTAATATGAGTCACCCAAATGACTTCTTCTTTAGCATCTGTCGGATTTTTCTTGAAAACTGAACTGTCCTAACTTGCCTCTAAGTTTTTTTTTAAGATATTAAACTCCAGCTCCTCTTAAATCATCTTGACATCTGTTCTTCAAGAAGTTTCACTATCAGTGAAGTGTATGAATTCATTTTTATACTGTCTCAAGGTTTCCATTTTTAGCCAGGCTTCTGGAAACTTTGGTCAAGCCTTGACTACCTAATCAAGGCCCGCTGAAGTCACCCTACATTAGCAATTTCAGTCTGAGTTTTCTAACTGCCCTCACGAAGAGATCGTTCCACTTACAAATTAACATGTACAGTTGCAGAAGAGATTATCAGACCAGGGTGCCAGCTCGCAGGTACAGCAGTCAGGGGTGCAAGAACTATAAAATGCGCCTAAGGAGTTGTGACACTTGATAATATTTTAGGCCACCCTGCTATCTGGAAAATACAGGTATTACTCTTTTAAAAGAATGTTTTAAGTTAGCTGAGCTATAAATTCTCATGGGAAGACATCTGATTGCTAGGCTCCAGGGACTCTCTGAACATAAAGTCTGTGTAAAAGGTACCTTCGGTGTTTGTCTCAGCTGTAGTTGGCTTTGGGAAAAGCAGGACATTGGACTTCTTGGTACAATGTCACCCCTCCCAAACTGGTGAAGGAATCCATCTGTTTGTGGTGTTTTTCAGTTGTTGATAGGAAATGTTGCTTTTGGCTTTTGGCTTGTGAACATAAAAAAGAAACAGTGTTTTTACTTGTGGGGTAGGGGCATATTAGATCAATTTTATACTGTGGTACAGAATTTCAATTTAATTTTCATGGTGATTATCTAGCACATAGATTTGGCTGGACACTTGAGAGACTGCTTTTGCTTTGGCGTTTCCCAAGTTTGCTCTGGTTGCTTTCCTGATGAAATAGTACCGTGTAGAGAATGTCTTTTTCTTAGGATCCACTGCTGTTTGGGCTTTTATTATTTGCCAAGGACAACTGGTCATTCACTTCTGAGTTCTTAATCTAATTCTACTCAGATGGTTTTGGATTTGCTAACTATTACAGGAGAACAAATATAGAGGTAAAAAATGTAGTAGACCATTCCATCTGTTTCCATCTTCTGTGAACTGTAGCATCATGCAGTTAAAAACGTCAAAGCAGATCAGAATTTACCTGGAGGTCCTTATATTGTCCCCAGAGCCACCAGATCACTGCCACTCCCTCCTGTCCATGTCTTATTTCTGTCCTTCATCCCTCCAGTCTCTCCCTCTCTGCCTCTTTCATTCATGTACAGGAACCTATAAATGTTTGAAAAGTGTGGATATCTCAGTGGCAAGCAGTTGAGAAAATATATCAGTTTAACCTCAAGTCAATTCGTCAATTTCTTCCCCCCAAAAATACCAAAATAAAATATGCTTCTTAACCTTCCAAAGTATTCGAAGTTTAACGTAAGTAGCTATTAAAAAATAACTCAGTACATCTTCAGATGTTTGCTTGCAGCAGAGTAACACCTAAAATAAAAAAGTAAAGCACTGTATTATTTATAAAGAGACTTGAGTTCTCCATCAGGGAACTATGTTAGCACAAATCTGAATATTTCTTTCAAAAGTAATCTCTCGCATCCATGCAAGTGTTTATTGCAATCATTTGAAGTGGAATAGGTTAATGTACTCACTTTTCACCCCTGAAGCCTGGCTTTGAATTTGACTTAGAGAAAATTAGTTTGGAGGCCTCAACCTCCTCTCCTTAGGCATTTGTTGATACCACAAAATGAGTCCAACGACTTGTCACAACTGTTGCCATTTACTCAGGAGAACCAAAAACCAGAATAACCTTATTTTTTTTTCTCTTTCTTTCCGTTTCCTTGAGGCTATTCTTTTTTTTTTTTTTATTTAAGAGGAAAAAGAGAAAAACACAAAACAAAACAAAGCAGTGTAAGGTTACATATAATACAGAACTACAAAAAAAAGCATAACAGTAAGAAATCACCTGTTAATAGATTACATATTATCATCTTGGAAATAGTTGCTCAAATCACAGTATCAAAGAATACAAAGTAGACATTCAAACAGAGAGACTACAAACAGCTGTGTTCAATGATCCAAAAACATTAATATAGTCAGCTATTCAACATCCCTATACACACTTGCTGTTATATCCGTTAGAGCTCTTTTTTCCCCTTCCTCTCTTTTTACAACAAAATTTACACATTTTAGATTTTATTACTCCTTAGTTCTTATTACTTTTTGGTGGGGGGGAGAATAAAGTCAAATATGGCAGAACAAAGCTGTCAGTGAAAACCAAGGATAGACTTAGCACATGATGTAGAACAGAGTATACGGTTATTAACAATAGTTATCAACGTTGTCTCTTGTTTCCTTAAAAAGATTTGTCTATCTCATTAGATATTATAAAGTTGGACAAAACAGTAGAGAACAAGACCAATAAAACTTAGACATTGTAAACATTACAGGACTTCCAAAGGAGACAATAGTCAAACCAGAATGGGCATCTTAGTAACTCTTTTCGATTTCCTATTAACTTGTTTTGAAGTCCTGTAATGCTCCCATGATCTTGTTTTGACTGATTAGACTCTGTTCCATTCTGTGGGATAGTATCAGGTCCGAGGGTATAGGCAACTACTTTGAAGGC